GGGATTTGGGCATCCATGTTTGTAATTCTCAATGATTATGTTTATTTGCTAGTGTTACCAAATGATTTTCTATGCCTTTCTATTTTAATAACTAAATAGCTCCTTATAAATTTAATCTTGCCAAATTAGCTGTTTGGGTTGCATGGATGAAATTGTCTTTTGACTACTAGTCTGCACTGTTTGTTCTGCAACAAAACCGTGCCTGCAGTTTACAAGCAAACAGCATTTCAGTTCAGTAAAGGCAAGATGGAGGCATATTTTAAAAGGTGCATGACAGAAAGAAAAAAACCAAAGACTTTCTTGGAAATCATATGATAAACACGTTTTTGCAGTGATTTTTTTGTTGACAATTAGGTGCTAATTAAGCACCTAAGAAATGGAGGCCCTACTTTAATTTTATGTACTTTCTTTTCAAGATGAAAGTTGAAAATGCAGCTGCACAGATTTTAAGATCCACACTAAATAGAATCATAGACTCATTTAGAATCTGACTCCCATCCAACCTGACACACTGTTAAACATTCTCTGATCCATGAGTCATCCTTACCCCTTTTCTTTAGTCCTTGCCAGTGCTAACCACAGATTTTTTACTGTTAGTGGACTGTTGTGAATAGTTTCATACTAACTCATGCCAATCAGAGGTGTGTAAGGCAGATCTAATGGCTGGGCTTGATCAGAAAGAGACAAAGGTAGCTGAACATACACAGATAGATTAGGAGATCAGATTAGGATCTGTGTCTCAGCACACAGATCAAAACCTTAGTATTTCAAGTAAATGAATCCCATTCCCCACATTTCTGTCCTGCTCTTATTGAAGAATTACATTTTTTTTCTTCCTTTTTTGGCTTCTCATTTTTTTACAGTTAACAGTCTCCTCATCATCAAACCAATCCAGACAATGCCCTGTTTATAGATATGTCCCTTTGTCTCATTCCTTTTCCATCCAATGGGAAAGAGCCAAAGAGGAAGATCTGCCTATATCTTACACCAGTTTCTACATTTATCTCTTCTTGCATCCCACCTTTTATTCTTGTATTTCCCAAGCACATATTACAAATGTCCCATTTACTTTTCTCCAGTAAAAACACCTGAAGCTATTGAGCTACAAAGGCACTAGCTGTGTTATCCATTCTTTAAGGGATGCCTATTCCCAACTCGGAATGCATTTTTAAGTTTTTTTAATGCTTGTTCTTTCACTGGCATAATCTTTTTCAGGTTAATATGCATTAGAAATGGTCCCATAATGAAATCTGGTGATGTAAACCACTTCTTTACACATACAAAAGGTAGCAGAGAGTGAGGAGTGCTGTGCATTGATTGCTGGTCTTAGACCCCATACAGTCATCAATTCTGAGAGAGCTTGTATTTCTTTCTGACCTTTGTGCTTATGACCATCTCACCCTAACGAATGCTGTCCTTAATGCAGAATAATTACTTATTTTTATTTTTAAATATTCTCTGATAGATTTTTGTGTTGGGACATAAAAAAATGTTCAAAAGGTAACTCTGCAATGCTTTGTGAAATGGTTTTCATTTCACAAAGAATCACTGAACACTACCCAAATTCTGCTAAACACAATGGTAGTGCAACTTGTTGAGGGCATTGCAGGATACATTCCTCAATGGCTGGGAAAAGCTCTTTTAGGGAAGCTCATGATCAAATAAATTTCTTATCATTGTTCATGAAGAGGGAGGGACTTGGCTAAAGTAATATCTAATTTATGCAAACACACCTTGTCACCCCACCGTATCTCGGGGTTTTTGTTGGTTTGGTTTTTTTGGTGTGTGTGTGTGCTAAGAATGAGAACTGGCACTTTTCCAAAGGGGTGTGTCAGAGGTAAATTAACATGTCACTGAAGTATCCTATTGTGTTGTAATAGTCCTGCTGGAGACCTGAAGGTGTGTCTCTGCCTTTATAAATACCACGCTGCTTTTACAACTAGCTCTGATTCTTTTGAAAGAAACTAGTTGCATCAGGAGTCGCGTTTGGACATCTCCAAGCCCTCTGCAAGGTATGTCTTCTGGTTTTCTTGCTTTTGCACTGTTGCATCAGAAGGTTACTGTCACATCATAATTCATTTTAATGTTATTAGTTGCTGTATTTGCAACGGAACTGGAAATACTACGTGGTGTTTTCTAAAGAGGGTTTTATGGAGTGAAAATCTCTGTGTATAGTATAAGGCATGAAGCAACTATGCAAAATGAGGACCTGCTGATATCTGCTGCTACCTATGTATTCTAGATTCTAGATATATATAACTAAAGATATTTGCAGATAGTTGAATGTTGAAATAGGTTCCTTAGTGTGCCTACACATTAATTTCTGCTTTTTAACATGGAAACTTGGTTACAGAAATGGCTATGATGGGAATATCTGAAAAATATTTTTAGGGATTTGATCAAGTAAATGCCAGATTGAAACCCTCTACTATTATGGTAAGCTTGATCCTGAAAACTGCTTCATAAAGAGAAACACTTACAGAAATAAACATGCTCTGAGCAGATGCAGGGATCAGCTTGATAATAATTGACTAACTAGCTACATTTCAAAACTGAAGTTGCATATTTATCCCTTGAGGTTGGTAGCTTTAGACACAGTTCAGTATACTGCAGGCATTTTCAAAGGCAAAAAAAAATGTTCTGATTGTTTAGCAGGCAAGGCAGTAAAGAATGCACCAACAGTTACTTTTTTGGTGTCTGGAAAGACTACTATAATTTTTTTTTTCAACAGAAAACTGAAATACTGGCATAACCAGTGAATTAAGACAATTTTCAGGATGCCTGAGAAATAATTTTACTCACCTTGAAACAAATGGTTTCTTTTCTGTCTGGCATATTTTTGAAGAAAAAACTGTGGCTGGAGCCAGAATTGCTTACGTGCCATTCATAAAATGGGAGTTCATGGGAACAACAACTGCTTTATAAGCTATAACTTGAGATATCCATCTGAGATTGACAAATCCCAGGTTCCTTCTCTGACTGCAGAAGAGATTTTAATTAAGGTACCTCATTCACTGGGTAGTAGCACATCCTAGAAGTGACTCTCTTCTATTTCACTTTGCATAGATAATTAAGTAATTGGATCAGAAGGACTTAATCCATAGCCATCTACAGCTAAGTTAAATGGAATCCAGAATTCACCAGGTGAGATTTAGTTCGCATATTAGGAAAAACTTCTTCACCTAAAGGGTAGTCAAGCATTGGAACAGGCTGCTGGTGGTGGAGTCACCTTCCCTGGTGGTATTTAAAAGATGGGTAGACGAGGTGCTTAGGGACATGGTTTAGAGGTGGAATTGGCAGTGTTAGGTTTATGGTTGGACTCGGTGATATTAAAGCTCTTTTCTAACCACTATGATTCTGTGAATCTGTGAAGTGAAAATGTTTTTATATTTTCATTTGTTTGTTTGTTTTAAAGGCAGATAACAAGCAAAACAGAGACCATGAGGATCAAAAGCTTTGGACTTCTTTGTGCGTTGATTCTGGTCTCCCAGATACTACTGGCCAACTGTGAAAGACAGAAGGAAAGAAAAAAGGGAAGACAAGGCATAGAAAACCACAGAAAAAACCAAACTGAATCTAACCAAGAAAATGAAAAAGGGCAGAAGTCAAAAGGAGGAAAATCATCTCCTAAAGGCAAGTTTAAAACCAAAGAAAATGCTGAGTGCACCTGGGGCGTGACCCTCATGAATGCTGCTACTATGCACGTAGAGTGCAAGCATGGTGACAGCGAGTTCTGGTGCGAATTCTCTGGAGACCCTTCCACCTGTCCACAATATGCAGCAAACCAGAAATCCTACTGGAAACAAGTCTCCCGATCCCTAAAGAAGCAGAAACAGATATGTCAAGACCCTAAAAGCATCCTAAAATCTAAAGTATGCAGGAAAGGCCCACGAAGCGCTCACCTCAAGTTGACCCGCTCAAGCCTACTGACATCAGTGGGGCCTGTGAAAGGGATCACAATTCATCATGCAACAGAAGTTGTTCAGACTCCAGCAGCTGCCTCTGTGACTGAAAAAAAGCTAGAACACAGTCCTCAAGACTGTGTTGAAGACATAGATTATATTGATCAGAAAAAGGTGGCTGAGGAATACTGTCCAGAAAGCTTGCTTTCTTTCTGCAACTTTTTTATTGCAATGGTGCAAGACAAAAAATGCTGAGGAAGTGTTTCTAAAGCTCTGTATCGTGAAAGTCTGGTCTTATCTAAGTTACTGCAAATTATTCCAGATTTTATTCTCATGTTATATAGTGTATATAAAAAAAGGGAATATATTTTTCTGATTTTGTATATACACAACAGAATACACTTGACATAGTCGAAGATGTTACAGATTTTATTTGTATGTAGATTGCTACACAGGTGTTACCAATGGATGTTACATACTCCACACAGAAGTATATAAGTAGTCTCGTCGCCCCTCTTTGAGCTGTGCTAGCCAAAGTGATGAATTCAGTGCTATGCACTTCTTGGTTCTGTAAAATACCTGAATTATTAAGATAAATACATTTCAAAACATAGTCAAAATATTTTCTCTCTCTCTCTGTATTTAACTAGATTTCTCTGTAAGTGCTAAGCCGTTGTCAAAGACTGATCTTTCACAGGATCTATGCAAATTGTTGCTTATAAAGCAGTTTTAAAAATACTTCTGCAGTTTTGCAGACTTCAGGTTTATTAGCGAGTGCAAGCAACGTTTTGATAGGGAACTACATTATCATTAGTTTTTCATCATCATGATAATGAAGTGTAACAAGATTTTCAGATTCTTCCATAATTTTGCGAAGCTTCTGCTTTCCAACCTCATCAAAGGATGTCAGAAAACTTTGCAAATTTGAATTCTCTCTTTTCTCCTATAGTATGAAGCCCATTGTACTCATTTTCTGTCAGGTAAACAGAGATGCAGAGTGAAAATGATTTATACAAGTTCGTGTATATATGCCCAGGACTAGACTTCTTATTAAGTGCTAAAGCACTTGTGCTCAACACTGCCTGTATGTTCTCTTGAAGTTCCATTGTCTGTTATCTTTATGTATGGACAACACTAATAAATACTTTTCTATTCATTAAACTTCAACTGTATTTTTTATTAAAAAAAATCCAAACTCTACAAGAATATAGAAAAAGCTAAATGATGACAACTGACCTTTGTTAATATTTGAAACTCCAGCTGGAGGAGATGCAGTATAAAAGTTACAATTTTACAGTGGTTATGGGCTCAGAAGGATGGTCTTCTGCCACAGTGGTCCACTTGAAGAAACTTGAACTTTCAGGAAATACAATTTTCTTCAACATTTATAGCAAATTAAACTAATATTTCTGTTTATTGAGAAAATACAGCCTGGTCCCTTCTGTAATTATCTCATTGCTAGAATATTTGAGAGAATATTTTTAAGATGGGTAGTTGTGAGTAACTCACCTCCTGCCACTTCCCTCTTTTTTTTCATTGTCACATATACTCACTTTTTATTTAAATGAGCATGTCTGAGGAGGGAATTTTAATGCTACTCTGTCTTGTTGCTACAGTAATAAAGGCTCATGCCATTATGTAATAGTAGTTAGTATTCTCTTTGCAATGAGGAGCTACCTTAGCAAAAATACGTAAATTTAGATTGAAATCTTCAATAAGAAAATTTAGATGGCAGTCCTCAGTTTTGCTTGGTAGTGGAGTTCAAGCCTTCTTACACAGAGTTGAAATGATTTTGATGAGTCGGGAAGAAAGCATGGCTCAGGCATTAGATGCAGTATTTTAAAGAGGACAGTATTCTGGAGGCTCTCATATGTACTTCATACAATATTAATTTACATATTTTTGCTGCTTACTTTTGTGATCTCTCTGTGACTAATATCTTGAATAAGAGATGCTGCTATTAGTCAAGCAAACTGTGTTTGAGAAGGATTCAGCTGTATTTTACCAAGTCCAAATGGCAAAAAAGAAGCAGGTTCTTCTTACTGAAGTTCCAGCCTCTGCATGCCCTGTGGAAACACTGGGTATTATCAAGATGTGCAGGATAAATTCTGTTGGACTGATGCTCACAGCAAAGCAAAACTCCAGTAAAAAGGGGCATCAATTCTAATTCCTGTGAAGGCTGGAAGGCACAGGCATTCTGGTGCCAGGCAGGGTAGAAAAACAGCTACCAGTTGCTTCTTATTAAAGTAGATGAATAAGTATTGCAGGTGAGTTGCAGCTGCTAGACACTTTGTGTGTTGGCCTACACCACTTCACATTAGGAGATCGCTGAGACAAGGAAGCCAAAAGATGTAGAGGAAGGATTAGGAGCACATATTTGGCTCAAGCAATAATACACTGTAACAATTAATTATTGAATAACTAATCCAGTATACAGACACCTGTATGCCTGGTGCTCAATTGCCCCAGATCTTTTGGTAAATGTCTAATCTTAACTACCCTTAGCTGCTGTTACCCTCAGGACTGTGGTAAGTCATTTGTTGCCCGAAGCACGATCCACCCTGCTCTGAGTTGCCAGGAGGCACTGCTCTCCCTGTGGCTGCTGGCCAGCCAGGCACACTGAGCCAGTGACATATCCCTGAGCAAATTCCAGCCTGAGATTCCAGAGCTGTGATTTACATCCCCCCATGAAGGACTGTCAATGTCTGGACCCACATGTGTGAGCTGCACGCTCCTCTCCAAGGATTCATTACATTTATGCTGCTTCGTCCTGTTTTCTTTCAGGACTGACTTTTATCTTCAAGTGTGGCTCCTTGAGGGAGGAAAATGTGCTCGATTTCAACAGTTTCCAGGTGCATTTCACCTGTGATGCATGCAGTTGTACAAGTACAGTGTGGAACATCAGTAGAAAAAGGAGATGTCTGCAGTGTTTTTCCTTGGAAGGTGGGCTAATGTGAGCGTGCAGATCTTCAAACTACTTCAGCCAGAGGAAGGGATCTTTAACTTATGTGGGTATGTAGTTTTGGGTGTTCTTCAAAAAGGCACATTTCAGAATAGCAGGGCCTAAGGAAAATAGATCTGGAATCTAGCTTAATGAATGGCCTTTTCCATAATTGCACAGACCACAAGTCTATGGCTAAGTGCATCTAAGTTTTCATTGCACTTACCAAGTCTTGTGTTTCAGGCCCACATCTACAAAGCAATCACTTGACAGCAATTACATGTGAGTTGCTTTTTTCTGGGCATTTATAGAGCCAGTTAGGTCAGCATAACTTTGGTGCTTCTGTAGGCAGGCTGGTTAGGATAAATAAAACATTTCCTGGCATTCTTAATCTTAGGATCTGTGGTCATTATGAAAAAGTTCACATCTGAGCTCTATTCTGTCCCTCTTTTCCCCAGGTGTACCAGTTGTCATTGTGCCAAAAAATAATGTTTTGTTAACTTGGAATAATGGTGGTAGTGACTTTTCTAATACCTTCCATAACAGGGCAAGTAGGAACACAGTAAAGGAAAACAATGAATGGATTTAATTTCTGTGCAGCCCAAAGCCTCTGTCCTACCATATTGAAAACATAAGCATCTCTGCTTTCTTTGTGTCAACCTGAGTTAGGGGAAAAACAACCCCGTTTTACACCTGGGAAATGAGTTATAAGAAGACTGGATGACCTTGACAGTCATGGAGAGAAAATCAGTGACTGAAGCAGGAAAGAGTTCTCTTCTCATGCCTCATCATTAGATCACTCTGCAGAGGAACTACATGTATTTGTTCTTGAAAATATCCAGCTAGCTTCTAGGTATTTTTAAATTATTATGAGTATCTTTGGGAAAAAGTAGCTTACTTTCTTGGCAATATATTTTGTTTCTCCAGACAACTCTGGGTATTATAATTCAAATATTCACTTGGAAAGAAGGATAAGGCTTTTGACGATAGTAAACTCGTGGCTTTAGAGGTAAAGAAGTTTCAGGGAGTTCCTCTGCTCTTGCATAACGGAGTACTTAAACATTTGATAACTGCTATCGACTTTGGATGATCTTTTTAGGTGGACCCAACCCCCACATACCCCCCCAAATTCTCAAACTCTCACCAAAGTTTGAAGAGTAAAAAAAAAAGGGGG